CAAGGTGACTGTGACCTCACTTTGGTGGAGATATTTTCTGCCATTCTCATAGAGATTATGATATGATTTAATTAATTGTTATTGAGTATGTTTAAAGAAATAAACAGAAATATGGATTTTGTATTGTGACAAACCTCACTACTTATTTTATTATTCATCAAATTCTGAAAAAAAACCTTGACTTAATTATGAATTGAACTTAGGACCCTTAAAATTCAGTGTTCCTACTTGTATCCCTATACCCTAGTAAAATGGAGGCATTACAGGATGCAATGGCCTTGGTACACCTTTTCGACGCTTTGCACCATACCTGTATCAGCATGTAGTCAATAAATCTATCCACCTTCCCCTGATCAATTGCATCCTATTCCTCTTGTGTTGCCTGTACAAGCCCTGTGATTCCATTAGGTCGAAGTCGAGGAGTATGGAATCGGATTTTAAGTCATCGTTTGAGTATTCGCCAAACATTCTCAATAGGGTTCAGATCTGGACTGTAGCCTAGCAAGTCTGAAACTACAACACTATTGTATAACTTAAATCAATGACTATAAGCAGAGGTATGGACCTTGAAGCCATTCTCAACTAGTGAAAAACCTTTCTCCGATCCTCCCATATCTCTCCACAAAGGTAGGAAGCCAGATCTCAAGTCCTCTTCACAGTACTGCTCTAAATCCATACCGCCCTGTCATTCTGTCACCGATACTCTGCTGGAGGTCTTTGCGGAACATAGACCAGCTGGCTTCGCCGACTATGTGCTATTGCAGCCCAAAACATCGTAGATACTCTTTCTCTCTTGAGTGTCAGACATAGGTAGCGATCTTTTAACTCTGTACCTGGCTTTCACCAAACACACTCATAGCCACCACCAACACCTGTTTCAAATTTTGTCTCATCTGAGTAAAAGTTTCTACGCCAATCCTCCACACTCCAGTGTCATCTTTCCCGACACCAAATCAACCTCTTGCACTGTTAAGAATCCTGCCCCGCAGGTGAGTAGTGCGACAGGTAACAATTCTTAACTAGGGCCGAGGTAATAGTTCTTAGGCCTATGCCTACGCGATACTGATAGTCAAGTTCTTTGACTTCTATCTTATTGCGCCTATTCCTCTATTCTTTGTAAGCCCTCGCTTAGGAAGGATTTGTATGTCGTGGGACGAGAAATAGTTTTCTCGCTTGAGAGGAAAGACAATTCTTGAGTTTCTTAAAATAAATCTTGAAGAGCGTAAAGGTAGGTTTTATTGATAAACTTAAAGGTAGGAAATAAACAAGAAGAACGTGTGAAGAACTAATACTAGGGGTCCTAGTGACCCTTTATATATTAGTTCTTCACCTGGCGTGACTCATACTTTTGTGTCACATGAACCCTGTGACTCATAACTATGAGTCATGCGAAATCCATCAGCTGACTCCTATGAGTCGCTGTACAGCGTACCTAAAACCAATCAAAACATAATAACCAAATCAGGTATACAACTGGCATCGCCTGAGTGAAACCCATGACTCATAATTTGAGTCATGTGCGAAAATCATAACATCGTGTGACTCACAACTGTGAGTCATGAACAGGTAAACATAATAATCTATGGCACACTAATGTGCGTCATGTGAAATCCCAACATACCTATAGCTTGGAATTCTGAGCTATGTGAAATCTGCCTTGCTTAGTCACAGTTTGTGACATGCGCTTTGATTTCATGTTCACAAATGGCTTACACTGTGGAATTCGGAGATGGAAGTCCAATTTGTGTAGTGATTTTTAAATCTTTTGCGGATGGTAATTGAGCATTGACTCATCAGTAAATTCAGCCAATGTTGTCCTAGGATTGTTCTCCACTGTTTGATTAAGTCGTCAGAGCTCTCATGGACCAATTTTTGGTAGTCTTCCTGGTCAAGTTCGATTTTCCACCTGCTTCACCACCTTCTATCTCTGAACAATATTTACCACATTTGACTTGGAGACGGTCGTACGGTCAGTAATTTCACAATTGGTGTAACCTTCTGCATTGAGCTGAATAACCTCCATCTGCTCTAATTTTGTACTTTCTCGTCGTGCTCCGTTCGCGTTTTGGGGCATTTTTGTGGAGATATGCAGAGTAGTGGCGATGAGGTTGTTGTTCCTATAAAGCAAAGTGTGCCCACTCACTTTTTCGCGGGCACTTGTATTAACCGGAATAGACAGGGATATATTTGGCTAGTTAACCTCACATCACTGTTCCATAGTCGTGCCAAGGTTGTGACTAAGCGTCACAACCCCTGGTTGCTCGCTTGCTCGCAACCTAGGCACGAGTAACTTCTTTCCGGAGCTTTCTACTTGTACTGTATCATACTGGTCTCAATCCAGGAGAGTTGTCTGTCTTTCAGACCCATGCCCCAGTCTATTTATCAGACAAAGCACCTCCTTCTTTCCTTCATGTTACATTTTCCTCGCTCCTTTTTTTACCTCTACCCCTATCCAGAGCATAGATATCCGAAATAATCACTGCTCTATTTTACCACGGTACGGCACTTCCATCTGACCTATTATATCATATTCAACCCCCCGACAAAGAACAGAGGATGGGAAAGAAAAACCCGCCCATAGATTTCCTGAAAGTCCTCACCTCGCCCACCCGATCCGGTTCTCCGGTCGCCAACCGGCAACAGTCCCGTTCACCACAGCCTTACCGGAGGAGACCTCCACCGACCCCAAGAGTGCCGCTTGCCCCACCCCTGGACAACACCGCATACCTCCCTTCACCGGCTCTGACCCCAGAAGCATCTCGCGGAACTTCTCGGTTTGCACAGAAGTCCTACTATGGGGGGTCGGAGTCGGGCACAGAAGCTGACGATGAGCTTGCGCGAAAGCTTCCCGCTCCACCGGGAAAGAGGAGCCGCACATCATCCGAGGAGAGGTTTTCCGGGAAGGAATATGATACTCTGGATGGCCAAGAAGGCGAGAGAGGTAGACGGCGACGGAGACTGATCGGTGATGGATGTGGGCTGGGGGGAGAGAAGAGAAAACCTAGTGGGATTGTCTTTGTGCGCCGTGGCATTGAAATCGGCTTGATGGGAATATTGGTTGGTATTGTGTTTTGGAGCAGAGAGGGAAGGATCTGGAAAGAAGTGGGTATACGGAGACAAGGTAAATTGAGCTTGGGCTAACGGTTGGATTTAAAAACTACTGGAGCAGTTTTTCGTTTTGCTAACTTAGGGATCCAGAGTTCACTGCGTGGACGGCCGTGCTTTTTACAATTTTGGCCTCTTACCCACTCCCAATTCTACTTCACGGCAACCCCCTCGTGCTTCCGAGATCCCTTGACCCATCCCCACTTCTATACCCTATTTTTTTCCCCATATTGGTCGCACTTTCGATGACAAAGGAGAACACAATGAGCAAAAACCCGTACGTTGCCTCAAATCTAATTCTCAGTCTTTCATCCCTGCCGCCAACCCTTATACCAAGCTGTGATCTTCGCTGGATGCTGTCTCTACTGCCCCTCGCGATCCCGGTGCACCCTCGCCAGTGGCCAAACCCCGAATCCAGTTCCGATGCGCTCTCATTTCTCCCACCACTTCACTTTGTATTAAACTCGGTTCTGACCACTCTTCTACATCCCTCCTTGACCTCAACCGAGCTTAAAATGGTTACAACGGCGTTGATCAACCTTTTGATTTACGCATCGTCGCCCCAAGCCATTATTCTAAAAGCTGTTCTCTGGGGCGGGGGTCTGGGCACCCTGATTCTCTGCGAAGACGTCATAAGGTGGAACGTCAATCTTGCACGCGTTCCTTCTCACAAGTTGCGCCGCGCTGGAAATGCCATTATCAGCATTGGAAGATGGAAAAAGTTCACCTCTCTAAGAGCGAAGGGGCAAGCAAGTGATAGCGAAGGGGAGCTGCTGAATATAACCTTGAAAACTTCTAAGTCGGGAAAGTTAAGGCCCGTTAGCCAAAAATCTTTCTATACCGCTCTCACCCACGAGCAAGCCAGAAAGCGCAAACTCGCATATTCTCTATGGGTATATGGTAGCGTTGTGTGTATCGTCATGATAGCGCTGCGCCCCTATATCGGGAAGTATGCCTTGGCTGGCGTCGACCCGTTTCTCTGGGCTCCAGGATATCTTCTCTGCGGCTTGAGCTGGTATCAGAGTCTAGTTGACAGGATAGCCCCGGGCTCTGGGTACTGCGTCACGGGAGGAGCCGCGTCTGCGGCCAATCTCCGTTTGCTCATAATCGGATGCTGGCTAGTGGTGCTAGTCGTGGGAATTAGTTTAGTGACCGCTGTCCTGGCACATATTGAAGTAAATACCAGGAGAAAGGTCTTCCATGGAATGGTTGTCATCATGTTTCTTATCCCGGGGGTCCAGGACCCGGCATTCACATATCTTGGGCTAAGCCTGACACTAGCGGTGTTCCTACTTCTCGACACGGTCAGAGCGGGGCAGCTACCCCCATTCAGTGGAAAAATCGCCGTATTCCTGCAACCTTTTGTTGATGGAAGAGACCTCAAAGGTCCGGTAATTGTTTCCCACGTCTTTTTGCTCCTTGGGTGTGCTGTTGGATGGTGGTTTACACTTGCTTCCATAGACTCCCAGGAGGGTGATTCCTGGGATCAGTCAGGGAGGCAGGTCGGCTTGGCCTTCGTGAGCGGGGTAGTTTGTGTCGGACTCGGCGATGCAGCCGCGTCACTAATTGGAAGAAGATTTGGAGGAACCAAATGGGGCTGGAGAGGCGGGAAAAGTGTCGAGGGGAGCCTCGCCTTCACTCTCGCCGTTATGACCGGCTTAAGCGTGGCCAGGTGGTGGGTGGGCACGGAAACCCAGACATGGTCTCTCGTAGACTGGGCCAAGATTGCCACAGTAGGGCTTTGGGGGAGCATGGTAGAGGCGGTGGTAACCGGCGTTAATGACAATATTGTGGTGCCTGTCGGTGCTTGGATATTGGTCCAGGGTTTGGGACTTTCGTAATGGCTGGCCCCCACCCAGTTGCCCCGGATACACCAACCCTGTTTTTGGGGATTTGGCGCCACGGATTCCACGGGGTTGGTTTTTTCTTTCTCTTTCTCATACCGGTTTTATACGAGGGAGTTGTGCTTATATTAGAGGATGGTGGGAGTCATAATTCCGGATAATGCCCCGCCAGCGTTTATAATCACTATATTTCACTCCTATAGGCATATACTCATTTTCGATTGGTAATGGATGCGTATATACAAGTACCTGTACTGGTATTCGACTCGATACCCCCTCTTCTCCCGCCGGGACGGGGCAACAAGCGCACAGCCGCCTTCGGTGACCACAGCATCGCTCGTAGGAGCACTGCAGTACGGCGCGTAGACTATATCACAATACTACCCCGCACGGTATATCACTGTACCAGTATACTCGTATATGGTGTTCGGGTATTATCACTCGAGTTGTCAAGCGGCACTCTACTAGTACCGACCATCGAAACCAAAGTTGTATCGGAAAAATAATTAGGTAACTTATGTTTGCCGGTAGTCCATGCGTCTCTGACTCCGCGAAGACTGGCTTTGTGTGAGGTCCCATGATTCATCGCTTACGCATAGCCAATCGCGGGTCTAGGAGACAGGATGACCACTTCGATGACATAATCAGCCCACACTGAAATTAAAATCCAAACCCCACTCATCGTTCGACTCAACGGTCTCGGCCCCTCCAACCACTCGTATTTATGCCAACGGAATAACTCTTTCCTATCTCATCCCATCCCATCACCCTCCTTCTTCGCCCTCCTGCGCTGGCTTTGAGCTTGATAAAATGGCTGATAAACTTACACGGTATGTGTCTCCCCCGTCATTGTAAGGGTTGTATGGTGGAAGGCGCTAAACCATTTTCCCCCCACTCGACAGTATTGCCATCGTGAGCACGGATAAGGTGTGTTCCTCCTGAGTTATTCTCATATGGGGATGACAACCGCTAACTAGTTTTTCCTCCGTAGTGTAAACCAAAGGTATGCAATTCGCGATTCCCAGTTTTATAGTGGCTGCGAAACAAACAACTAGGTTTTTCTGATAACCACAACCACAGAAATGTCGGCAAGAATGCAAAAAGTCGTGTCCGGTTGTCAGAACAGGAAGGCTGTGCATCGAGGTCACACCGGAGTCTAGGATCGCCTTTATCTCTGAGCAACTGTGCATAGGTTGTGGTATCTGCCCGAAGAAGTGTCCTTTTGGAGGTATATCAATTTGTCCTAAAGAAAGTGCTGTGGGGAGAAACATTGGCTGGACTCACCTCTTTCAACAGCGATTCACATCATCAATCTTCCAACCAACCTCGAAACTCAAGTCACCCATCGTTACTCTGCGAATTCGTTCAAGCTCCACAGATTACCCACCCCCCGTCCTGGCCAGGTCCTTGGTCTTGTCGGAACGAACGGTATCGGAAAGTCCACCGCTTTGAAGATTCTTTCCGGAAAGCAAAAACCAAATTTAGGCCGCTATGATAATCCCCCGGATTGGAACGAAACATTGGCCTACTTCCGCGGCTCAGAATTGCAGAACTACTTGACAAAGGTCGTGGAGGATAATATTAAGGCAGTAGTCAAACCTCAGTATGTTGATAAGCTACCATCGGCGATCCGGGGGACTGTGAGGTCTGTGAGTGCATTGCTTAAGGCTCAGTGCGCGCGGGGGGATGAAGTAATGAAAGCTATGATCGACGTTCTTGGTACGCCCGGATTTCGGCTGCATTTGGAAAATCCGACTAACGGTTGCAGATCTGAGTCCTGTTTTGGATCGTGATGTTGAACAGCTTTCTGGTGGAGAGTTGCAAAGATTTGCTATCGCTGTCGCGTGTGTGCAAAAGGCGGATGTGTAAGTTCATTCAGCATCCATTATTGCCACAGCTGTGCTAATAATTTTGTAGTTACATGTTCGATGAGCCCTCGTCTTATCTCGATGTCAAACAACGCTTGAAGGCTGCTGCAACCATCCGTGGCTTGACTAGACCTGACAACTACGTTATTGTTGTGGAGCACGATTTGTCGGTCTTGGACTATCTCTCAGATTTCATCTGCGTCCTTTATGGGAAGCCTTCGGTCTATGGTGTCGTGACTCTGCCAGCATCTGTTCGTGAAGGGATCAACATCTTCTTGGACGGCAAAATCCCTACCGAGAATCTTCGTTTCCGTGAAGAGTCCCTTCAGTTCAGGATCGCCGAGGCGGGAGATGAGTTTATGGTTGATAGGTCACGGTCATTCGGATATCCAGCCATGAACAAGACTCTCGGAAATTTCCATCTACACGTTAATAAAGGAGAATTTACTGATTCAGAAATTATTGTTATGATGGGAGAGAACGGAACCGGAAAAACAACATTCTGTCGCATGCTTGCCGGTGTAGAGGCTCCAGACGACAATAAAAAGATCCCCAAGATGAGCATCTCCATGAAGCCACAGAAGATCACTCCCAAGTTCCCTGGAACTGTGCGAGAACTATTCTTGAAGCGGATCAGATCCTCATTCCTCAATCCCCAGTTCCAAACGGATGTTTACAAGCCGCTGCATATCGATGACTTTATCGACCAGGAGGTAAAGCACCTGTCTGGAGGAGAACTGCAACGGGTCGCCATCGTCCTTGCCCTCGGTATGCCCGCCGATATCTACCTTATCGACGAGCCATCTGCCTATCTAGATTCAGAACAGCGTATCATTGCGGCCCGTGTCATCAAACGATTTATCATGCATGCCAAGAAGACCGCATTCGTTGTCGAGCACGATTTTATTATGGCTACATATCTTGCAGATCGTGTTATCGTCTTTGAGGGTAAACCTTCCGTCGATGCCATAGCCACCACTCCACAGAGCTTGTTGACTGGATGTAACGCCTTCCTGAAATCACTCGATGTCACATTCCGTAGAGATCAGAATACCTTTAGGCCTAGAATCAACAAGCTGAATTCGCAACTTGACCAGGAACAGAAGTTGAGCGGAAACTACTTCTTCTTGGAAGGCATGTTACGACTCCCTATATCCTTCAAGAGATGTGCTAACATGGCAGTAGATTGAGATATACTTTGCAGAATGTGCCTTTCTCTTGGCGTTCGGTAATGGATTGTTTTGGCTTCTTATTTTCGCAATGTCTTCTCTCTCATGTACGGGATTGGTGCCGACCATACGGTGCCGGTTGTAGGAAAGCGCATTAGACGGCATCCAAAAGTGCCCCTTGCTCTCTGTTTTACCGAGGGCCCTGCAAATTACCATAGATTGAATACACACCTTCAGATCAGTGCTTCCAGCCGTCCAGTCCAACTACGCCAGCCCTCGCCCCGTCCCGGATGGGGTAGACGGCAGCCAACTACAGTTGACTAGAATTAACCTATGCACTAAGTGAGGCACACAGCTAATCCTGAAACGCTTACCTGCTCGGCAAACATGATAATAGAGGGTCTTTGGTTTCCAGAAAATATAGCCAATGCCGAAATATTAAGAATAAAAGTAAAACAAGATATTAGACTACTCACCAAAATCAAACGACTGCCCCCCCCCCATTTTATAGCAACCGGCGAAACACGGTAATCACTCGTACTCCCCGGTGGAAACCAAAAGGCTGTGGGAAGTGAATGCGATCTTTACAAATAAGGTGTGGTCCTCACTAGCGGATTAATTGTTTGCATACCGTTGGTAAAGGTCCGGGATTCTGGCATGTCCTTTTGCAGGTGGCCCTAGCGCGGTCCACACAGTAGGGGTCCTCAAAGTAGAATGGCAACGGTGATTCCTTGATTCTGCTGAGCTTGAGTCTGGCCAATCATGTCTAAAATTCCTGGTTCAACTTTGAGTACCCCCCCTCAAAGGTAATTGGGTAATTCTCCTGGCCAAGGCAATAAAATATCAAGACGGTGGTTATCACATAAGTGGTCAAGACACTCTGGTCCAGTTTAATGTCTAAAACACTAGCCTATTTGGGTAGCCATGATAAGAAAAACCCTGCTGCTCATAAGAGGTAAAGTACTCAGAATATCGCAGAATCCATACTGCCTAGCATGGCCATGATGGAAACAAGAAACCCTCTGTACTCATGCGGCCGAGTGCTAAGTAAATCACGTGATCCTCTATTTGAATTGGTCAACAATCTCTCAGGGTATTCATGGTGGAATAAGAAAGATATCTTTTCAACCACACCATACAATAAAAGTATACAGAATGTTCAGAAGAAAGATTTTTATTGGCATTTATGCTTGCGATTTTGTTGGACTGGTGCTTGGTTGATCTCGTATCTTACCCCTCTCTCCTGGTCGCATCATTAGAGGGATTTCGGAGTGACATTTCAGCTTATTTCTAGCTTGTTGCCACAGCAACAGGTCAAGGATTAGGGTTGTTGTCGCACATAAGCGATGCCGGACGCTTAGTTCTAGCTAAGCTACGCTGAAAGATCACGAATTTGCTAACACCCACAACAAAACTTTTTCCACATCACTTCCTTCACCTCAGCCTCCCCTCAACACCCCCTCTACCAGACAGATATCTATGGATAGCAAACAAATTTATCTCTGATCTTCTGCTTGTATGATCCTTCTCCCTATTTTGCTTTTTTTTTCCATCAAGAAAAATGTTCAACGTATAGTTTCCATTCAGCTCATCACCAACCTTGATAGGTACTACGATTACTCTACGGTTGACTTGTTCTGGGTTTCTGTGGAAAATAAGACTAAGCAGACTTTCCGTATTGATATCTATCTGGTATCTTCCTTCTATTCCTTATTTTATTTTTGTTAAAGTACTTGTAGTAGGCAAGAAGTATTCGGAAACAGGGGGGATCCTGGACTCAGAATTTTGGATGACAAACCATCCGTGCATGTCTGAGCGCACATACAAGATTTCGGCTGCAGGATCTCCCCGGTTTCCGAATACTTCTTGCCTGGGACATGTAATAAGTTTGCTGACAATTTTTTATTATTACTCAGATTGCGGCTTGTTCATATCCTTCACCCAACCACTACCTTATCGACCTATTTGAAATTGCTATAGACGAAAGGAGACAGGCATATTTCTGGTCCGAGTCTTGATTCTGTAGGATCTCCTTTCTACTTTTTGTTTACTTTTAAATCCAGAGTATAGCTAATAGATTGTACAATAGATTACGGCTTGAGTCTTCAGTATAAGACTTCTACCTTCGCAATAGTTCTAATTGGAATACCTGCAGTGAATTGTCTGAGTACCTTGCATACGGCTTATCAACCTGTGCCCACTTGACTCTTTACTGCAGGTAAATAAGAAGAATTTATTGCCTGAGTATTTACGCAACCTCTACCCTACCGGCCGTTCCAATCTATGAACCTGTAGTAAATTGTTGGAGCACTTTGCACAAGGCTTATCAACCTGTGCCTGCTTAACTCTTTACTACAGGTAGACAGGCAGAGCTTGATGCATTAGGCTTATCAACCTATGCTTGCTTTGCTTGTTAGTGATTGCAAGAGAGGTAAAGAATATTGGTTCTGGTAGGTTCAAGTTATCTTCAAAAATAGGAGTTAGAAAAGTACATTTAACTGATCAAATAGTATAAATAAGTGGTATCAAAGTTCTAGATCAGATCCGCCGAGTCCTATATACGAACTTGATATGGATATTGAAGATATTGCTGTTCTTGTAACTGTTACGGCTGCTACTACAAGTACCATTATAGCAGCTAAACAGTTACAAGACTTGCACGAGAAGGAGCTTGGTAATCGATACCGATATCGGACACCACTTCCAATCCCAGTTGGAGTACCGTTTAGTCTTGATTGCTTCATGGAATCATGGTGTCTTGAGTTCTTAAGGTAATACAATTTAGTAATTTATCTTCAAGAATTATTTACTAACTAACAGAATTTAGGTTCGGGCAGTCAGAAATTCAACAGTTTCTTCCATACTTTCAGCTTTCCCATATTCAGTTCCGTAATGGATATTCTTGTTGTCCAGAAACTGCATTATGTGTACTCCTATATCGACTCGCAGCACCAAATCGATTGAAGGAAGATATGAAAATCTTTCAATGTTCTCGATCTTGGATTTCATCCATATTCAATGATGTTGTTGAATACCGTATTCAACGGTATTTAAAGCATATGGAATGGGATCCAAACAGGCTTACAAGGTAACAAATCCTAAAGTATAGTCAGGTGATCGAAGAAAAAGGTGGAGTTAAAGGTGTTTGGGGATTTATTGATGGAACGATACGTACAATTTGTCGACCGAAAAACTATCAACACTATTACTATTCTGGCTATAAGAAGTGTCATGGTATGAAATTTCAAGCTGTTATGATGCCAGATGGTATTATTTCCTGTTTCGCTGGTCCATGGTTTGGAAAAGATGGAGATTGAAAAATGTATATCAAATCTGGATTGGAGAACCACTTGAGAGAAATCAATCAAGGAACGGAACCTGATGGACGATGCTATTTGTATGGTGATCCTGCATCTGCTTTATCCTATGGAATTGTGAGTGGATATAAAGCTACAGTTGGTTCACCTCTTAATCCTATACTTAAAGCCATGAATGCTCATATGTCAAGTATGCGTGTTAGTGTTGAGCATGGTTTTGGGAAGACAATGAACTTGTGGTCATTTAATGGATTTAAAGGAAGTTTGAAAAGCGGTCTTTCCCTTGTTGCTGGTTATTTTTTAGTTGCTGTTTTACTTTCAAATATTCATTCATGTCTTTACAGAAATGAAACATGTAATCGCTTTCATTGTGATCCACCCCTGTTATCAAGTTACTTGTCATTGCATTTTTGTATTATATGAAAAAAAGTTGTTCATAGGTTACTATAGCATTTTACTTTAAGTACTTCCAAGCTTTGACAAAATGCCTTCCAATAATTGATTCATTTTTTCTTGCTGTTTTTCCACCCTTTCCCCTTGTTGTTGCCACATATCCCCCTCTTGTCGTAAATGTTTCTCCATTGTATCTAACCGCCGTTCCATATCCTGAAGTACTGGCATCTTTTTCTTTTCAATCTGTCCACCTAACCTCTCAGCCACCAAAGCTACTGCATTCCCCATCCCCTTAACTGCAGCAATCATTTCCCGTGTATCCTCCTGAGCTGCTATTTCTCTTGTTTTTTTTCTTAATGAGCTAATTTTTTTAACTGTATCTCTTGTTGTTTCTCCTTCAGCCACAGTTTCAGCCCTACTAGCAGCTACTTCCTTCTCACTCCCTTCTGATCCTATCCGAGTCCTCTTTGGATCTGATCTCTCATCGCTCGAGCCATCACTACTTTCAATAGAAAAGTGATGCTTTAAGTGGGCACTTCGAAGTAGATTTGCGCGATGGATCTCAGCCTCCTGTGCTTCTGTTACACATAGTAGCGTAATCGGTGCGGCACGTGACTAAAATGCATAAGGTCACGTGTTCGACTCCGGGCCCCGCCGTAGTTATCGTGACGATATCATATTATCGCACGGAACGATAAGGCATCTATGCAGCCCGCTCCGCGGAGATATGAGGCATGCGACCGAGGGGTTTTCGCTGGATAACATGGAAGGAGCTCTGCTCTACAAGATAAGACTTAGTTGGTTCAGATTGATCGGTTAGCTATTGAGCTACGACCTCTGCAAGTCTATATGCAATTACAAGAAGTAATATGCATATCCCTTCAGCTCGCGTAAGCTAGAGTCATCCGGAAGACCTAGTTACGATTGGTTAATAACAACTCACTAGTCGAGTTAGTTATCTTCGTCATGCACTCTAAGCTATGCACATAGAAGAGTCATTGATAAGTCCTTTGACGGAGCTGATCACTCCACTAAGGAAGAGAGCGGGGAAGTTAGTTTTCAGGGTCAAACGGAATTCGCACTCCAAAGACACTGAAGCGTTAGTATGGCAGGTACATAGTCAGTAAGGGATTGAATGTAGGCCGCGACCACCCAGACGCGGAATATAAATATCGAGGTGCCTCCCTAGCTTTAAGTCTATCATCAGCGACCGGAGAAGAGATCTTATCAATATATTCGTTCTACTTCTATCTTTACGAGCCTTCTTGACTATCTCCGAGACAGAAGATTATAGGGCCTAGCGTACACTCGCTTGACTTTAGAGTTACCTACCCCCTAACAGCTTCCTTTGCACTTTGGGTCTTCGGCTGCTGTGCAAACTCCTTTGCACGTTCCTGCTCCTCTTCTACCTCAATCCACTTATCCACTGCTTGAGTGAACTCCGTATCTTCCTGAACTGTGCCTGATTCACGACTTTGAATCTTCAGTTGTGTACGGCGGGTAGTTACAAATCCCTTCATAGTTCCTGTTTATTTTAACTTTTTTTAATTTTAAAAATGTACTAGTATATATCTCTCAGCGTACCTGCAGGATCCTTTAAGAATATTCCTGCTTCCTGATGAAGCAAGTTTGAAACCATTATCTAAAACTGCCCCTTCCTTCTATCCTGAAAATCAGCCTGATTTTCCATACAAATTCTAACCAGTCTGAGTTTGTTCTCATCGGTGAGATAGGTACGACGGCGGGTGGAAGCAGTGACCTGAGCTTGAGGCTTGGAGGAGAAGATTTGAGTAGCGGTAGGTGCTTGAGACTCAGAGGACTCGGAGTAGGTTGGAGCAGCTGCTTGGAACTCGAGGGGCGGTGAAAAAGAAGACATAATTTTATAGTAAGAATCAAGATATCGTATCCTGTTGGTTGGGATTTTGCGTTAAATACAGGTGATGATTCTTTTTTTTTTTTCTTCCTCACATCCTAGGATTGCTTATTAAGCCTAGCTACAAGCTAATTGTTCCCTAGAAGTGCGAAATCCCTCCTTTCTCATTTCGCTTACAGTCACATTTAGCTCTGTTGTCACAGGGATAGCGATCCCTAACTGAGAGTTCCGAAATCCCTCTATTGGAAAAATTCCAAGACACTGCCGACCAACCAGAATAGAGGATCATGTGATTTACTTAGCACTCGGCCGCATGAGTATATTTACTCCCAATTGCCCAAATAGTCTAGTGACAGTATCCCTTACCTCCTACATGGTGTTGTGATCATGATATCATAGCTCACGGTACTAATTGCAGTAACTCCTTGTGCAGGATGGGAAGGCTAGCACCCAGAAGCCGACTTGAGGAGTGGAAATCGTCCCCTCATGTTCCTCAGTCCACTTGGCAGCTCTTGGCCAATCATCTCCCAGCCCAAATTGAAAGACCACCGTTGCCCAGTTACTTTGAGGACCCCTAGTGTACGGTAGGACAGACTGGACGACTGCAAGCACTGCTTCGGATATTGCGTGAATGCTCGCCGACCAGCGTTTGGGGTCTAGACCTCGGTGCGGTAAACTAGATTTTTCGGGCTGCGGGTTCCCGCAGTATCAAGCGAAATATCAGCGAATTACTATGGTGTGGTGGTGAAAAAAAAACAGGCAGGTGTGAAAATGAGTGACCACTGATGTAGCGTCCAGCTGTGGCGTCAGGCTGTGGCTTCCCCGGCTACCGGTACAGTAGCATCTCATACCGTACGGTTGCGCCACATGTGCGTTGCCCCCCCTGATCCAGTGAGTGCGGTGACAACCGAAAGTCGGATCAAATTGATTCCCGTCTAATAAATCATACTATAATTCCGGCTCAATCCATCTTCCAACCTTTCCTGAGCCCGCGAGCTCTCATGGATTTCTGAAGCTGCTAGAGCAAACGCCACAGCAGTATTTTCACATCCGGGTCTCACCCTACAATGTCAATTCTCAGTAAGATTCCATCCTGCCAAATCGCTCTCTGCTCGTTCTCCATCCTCCTTTTCTTTGTTCCTCCGGGCGTTCGGTGATCACTCATGATTATTACAGCCTCCCTACGCAGTACTCGAATCCTCAAACTCCTTCCCCTTGTATCCGCCCTCTGCATCCTCGTCGGCGTGACTTGGCTTCTCCTCCTCCCCCTTGACGACTACTCCCGTCGTACTTACATCTCTGAAAACGCCTTGCTCCCAGGGCAAGTCCACACCTACTTTGGCGGAAGTGAGCAGGACGTATTCAGATCCTACCGGCATGAAGTAACCGCGCTGGGCAAGAACGCTTCGGCCGATGGGTCAGGTGTTATGGCGGCGAAGATCGGGGGTATCTTCGATGCATTCGGACTGAAGGTTGGGAAACAAAAGTTTGAATACATCGCCGCTGGAGGCGTCTATGCGGGGGAGAATGTATACGCGGTACTACAGGCTCCCCGAGGGGATGCTACGGAGGCTCTTGTGCTGTGCGCCGCTTGGGTAAATACTGAGGGGGAACTTAATGAAAGTGGCGTCGCCCTTGTGTTGGCTTTGGCCAGGTATCTAAAAAGTGGGTGTTTATTCCATGCTATTTCCGATGTGGCTAATGCATTGTAGGATGGTCCCTTTGGTCGAAGGATATCATCTTCCTGATTACCTCCGATTCCCGAGCTGGGCCTCAGGCGTGGGTTGATTCCTACCACGACTTGCATGCCCCTCCTGCTGTGGCGTCACTCCCCCTCAAATCCGGCGCTATTCAAGGTGTTGTGGTGGTGGATTACCCGACGTCGCGTGGGTTCGAGTCTCTGCACATTGTGTACGATGGGATAAACGGCCAACTGCCCAACCTAGATCTTATCAACACCGCCGTACGAATTGCCTCGGGACAAATGGCCATCCGTACCATGTTACAAGAGATGTGGAGTCACGACAACCAGTACAGAGATCGTTTGCGAACCATGTTGCGTGGGATGGTAAATCAAGGGCTAGGCCATGCATCTGGTCCCCACAGCTCATTTATTCCGTATCACATCGATGCGATCACCCTGCAGGCGTACGGCGATGGGTGGCACGATGAGGTCACTCTCGGACGAACAGTAGAGAGCCTGTTTAGGAGTTTAAACAATCTTCTGGAGCACTTCCATCAGAGTTTCTTTTTCTACCTCCTGATGGCCGAGAGAAGGTTTGTTAGCATTGGCACGTATTTGCCGAGTGCTATGCTGATTGCGGTCAATTTCACCATCGCCGCTATCGGGCTATGGTTAAAGAGCGGGAGGTTGGATGCCGGGGAGGAAGAGAATAAGGGCGGTGATGGGAAAGTCTCGGAAGGCAAGGAGAAACTGTTGGGGCCCGCTGGGGAGGCACCTTCTGCCGCCGCGGATGCGGTTAGTGAAGAGCGGCCATTGCTTCTGGCTATGGCATTCGTCGTTGCAATTCACTTCTTGGGATTTATACCCTTATATCTATTTAACAATCTCGACGAGAAGGTTTTATCCCTCCTACCCAGAACTGGATCCGAGCTAACCCTACCCAGAACTTCACCAGCGCATTCTATATCTTCGCTCTGCTCAACGTAGTTCTTCCCTCGGTTTTATGTGCGATCTTTACAAAATCATCTACGCCCACACGTCTGCATTTCGCGTTGATTAAATGCTTTTCGCTCCTTTTACTAGGAATGTTTCTTTCGGCTTTGGCAACACTTAACTTTTCGCTATCCTTCCTCATTGGCGTCTTTGCTTCCCCGATAACGTTCATAAACCCTACCCCGGAGCGTAAATGGACGGTCGGAGCAGCCTGGATGACATTATTGCAGGGACTAACGCCGACAACAGCATTAGTCGGCGTGGCATACTACTGGGGGGAGCCGTTGAGTGAAATCCTCAAGGAGGCCGCGTTCGGATGGAGGGTGTGGGGAATGTGGACACAGGTCGTAGTCTGGTGTGTGTGGTGGCCTGCATGGATTATTGCGGGGGTACTGGTTGCGGGGAGTTGGGCTGTAGAGGCATAGATGCGTGTTGTCAATCGCGCTGAGTAATAACTTGATAGAATGGAATTTTTCTTCAATTCGAGGCGAGTTAAGTTATCGGTGACGTATTATGATGCGAGAGATGTCAGATCTACGAGTACAGCAGCACAACAGCAACAATAGTTCAGCCGCAATGATAGATAATACCGGTCACGTGCTGTGTTAAAAGCGCTACTTTTTCTTTCAAGTTTGTGAGTACGAGCACAGTACGAGTACGGTAATTTAACTTGGATGGGCAAGGGATCACCCGCAAAAACCCGACCACAAGTGCCCTGTTGCGTACCGTACGACCAATCAGGTCCACGGGGCCACAGTACCGCCCTTCCCCGAAACATATCGTCTAATAATCTCCGGGTGGAATGCTTGAAGTTACAAGTGAAGTGAGCTATGGGGCAGCTGTTGGCTCAGGAAGACAGCTTGGCGTGTGTCGCCTGGCCTGTCGGGCGAATGAATCGGTGGGAGCTGTCGGCTGAGGAGGCCAGGTCTGGCTGCGCATGGGGACTTGAGTCGGGCGATCGCCGCTTCCCGGGGGTGGGAGGGAACAATGAGGAAACCTTGTGGATGAAAATTTTGCACGGTAGGCTCACCGGCAGCTGAGGGGCTTAGAGGGAGCGGGGTGGAAGGCTTGTAAGGTGTGAGCACTCGTGCTTGTACGAGTGCTGGTACCGGTACAGCTGTCGGTATTTGTTTTGCGGGATATGAATCATGATCTGTGGAGAGGTCGCCACCGAAAGGAGGGAAAGGCTGCGGTACAGTACTTTACATTTAGCTCAGGTTACGACTATTTTACTCCCACTATTCCCTGCGTTCTGGGAAACCCGGCACACGACCACAATTCTCCGTTATTCTGCCGCACAGCACTCGTGCAGCACTGCGCATGACCAGCTCTGCGTACCCATAAATCAGAACAGGGCTCATCACAGCTACCAACTGGACAATCCTCCTACCCACCAACTCCGCATCAAGGACAACCGCTATCACAATAATACTCCCGACTGCTTCTGGTGGAGACCTGGTCTACCTCGCAATCACAATATGGGGAAACCAAGAGTGAGCTTCCTCCCTACACTACGGGGCGATAAGAGGCTGATAGAGGGGGAAATAACAAAAAGCTGATCGTCCTTATTCGACATGCTCAAAGTGAAGGGAATAGTGAGTTCCCCCTGGGTGCCCCAGAATTCAATTTCTAACCCCTTTTCTACAAGAAAACAAAGCAATCCACCAAACCGTACCGGATCACCGCGTGAAATTAACAAGCGAAGGAACTCGCCAAGTTAGCTCCTCACCCTACCCCACTCACCAGACCATCCAAGCTAATTCCCCCAGGCAATCGAAGCCGGGGAACGACTTCTGAAGCTCCTCCGCCCCGAAGACACCCTGCGAGTAATCACTTCCCCGTACCTACGCACCCGTGAGACCACCAATGGGATACTCTCCCAGCTATCCGGACATCCTAATGCAGCCAAGATTAAGGTGCACGAGGAGCCGCGAATCCGTGAACAGGATTTTGGCAATTTCCAACCGTGCACGGCCGAGATGGAGAGGATGTGGCACGAACGGGCGGCGTACGGGCACTTCTTTTATCGGATTCCGAATGGAGAGTCGGCAGCAGATGCGTATGATCGTGTGAGTGGGTTTAACGAGAGCCTTTGGAGGCAGTTTGCCGACGAGGACTTTCCCAGCGTTTTAGTACTCGTTACCCACGGGCTAATGACGAGGATATTTTTGATGAAGTGGTAAGCGAATGGACCCATTATCCGCGGGGGAGGAACCACTGACTGGATTTTGGCAGGTACCATTACTCGGTGGAATACTTCGAAGATCTAAAGAACATCGATCATTGTCAATTCGTTCTGATGGAGAAGAACCTTATCACTGACAAATACGAACTCAAGACAAAATTACGAACGTGGTCCGCAGATCGTAAGAAGGAGGAAGATAGACAGCAGCGAGAGGGTGGCCCTTCTGAAAAAGACCTGAAAAAGCTGGAAGCAGCCGCGGCCTCATTGGAAGTAATCTATGGCGGCTGCGTGAACGGCTGCAACCACAGTGGGACCGGGAAGCTAAGGACCAACGCCCCGAACGGCCTGACCGGGTCCTCACTCAGAGAAACCGGGAGTGAGGTAGCCCACGACCTCCGCAATAAACTTGCGGTGCTGCAAGCTGGTCGTGATTTCGGCGGAAGTCGCAGTGGGGCAGGAAGTAGAGCCTGTAGCGACGACGACGACGAATCTGGTAGTGCCGATGAGGAAATGTCGAAGCCACCGGAAGTCCTTGCCCGCTCTCATAGCGTGAAGAATCGTGTACCACTAGAGGTGCTCGAAAAACCAATATGAAGGGATTCACAAGACAATACGCAGGCGGAGTTACCAGGCAATGTTGCACAGGAGGATGGTGGTGCGAGGCTTTGAAGGGAAAAGTGATATGGATATGGATATATATTGTCATGTTTTGGCGTTTGCTGGTTGACTTATTGATATATGGCGGACGACTTATGATCATGAGCGTGGTGGAAGTTTGCTCCCCTTTTCCCTTTGTTTATTTCTTGTTCAAGCGGAGTGTGGGTTATCACTGTGTGGCCGGTACCGCGATGGGGCTGGGCCCGATTCACTGCCTGTATTCTATCTTTTGGTGTTATTTCTTTTAATCCTGCCGGTGATGTCGAATAAGTGAAGTGGTTATGGACATACGCAGCACAGCACTGAAAGTATTGGTGGGCTCCTGAGGATCGCGGGTGAGGCAGTGAGTCACGTGGTGAATATAAGTACGGTGGGGGACAGTTATGTGCAGTTCTGCTTCAGACTTGATTTCCCTTGTAGACTGTATATCTTGCCTGCGCGTATGATAGGTATGATACAGTGTCGGCGGGGCCCAGCTCTTGTGTAGACTTCGATACCTTCGCCAGTACCCACAGTGCTGGTTCATCATAGCATTATACTTCGCATGTTTCTCCCGAGTCAATGTGGTTGTGAATCCACTATACTATAGTAGACAGGAGCCAAGAGGGCGGCCAGTCCAACTTGTAGTCTCAAGCCCAACCCGCAACACCCCCCCTTGCCATAACTTAGACTAAGCCTCGGTTCGGCTACCGTATTTGCAAGCAACGGAAATATCCGAACTCCCTTGGCCACGTGTAAGACAAGCGAATTCAACGGTTCCACAACTGTCATCACCATCTTTTCCGAAATCCGTAATTCCCAACGTCAACCGGCCACCTCTCAGCATCCGGGTCTAGCGATACTCCCCGCTCGCTCCCATTTCAGACACGGTCAGAGACAAACTTGCAAACTGAGATGTTCGTCACAAGTCCGAAGCTGCGCGTCCGTTCTCCATCCCCGACAACTGTGGAATTCACGGTCACCACAGCTCCCAGTCACCTTCTCACGCGCCAGGTGGTAACGTGGAGTACTGTCCTTCTCCGACTGTTGGCATGCTCCTCAGGGGTTCTACTCGTCCTGCTCAAATATTACCCCCCGCAAACCTTCACGTTAAGTGCTCATGTGCACGCGTACATCCATCTGCTGCTGCAATCCATCTCCGTGCTCTCTACGCGAATTCCGTGGCAGTACTTACTACCTGGCGCTGCTGCGGCTCTGTACATTGCCGTATTCGCGCCTGGATACACCGAAGAATCGCTGCTAGTGATTAGAGACCTTGGAGTGCAGATCAGCACAACTACCTGGGGCGGGAGGCGGAGTAGGTTTATACCTACCAATGCGGTTAGGGATCTGTGGATCCACGAGGGGTTTTGCGGGTTTGAGGTGAGATTTTATTTGGCAGTTGTGGTGGAGGGGGAGGAGGGGGTTGTCGTTGTTTTTCCAGTGAGTGTCGCTCTAGAAGGGAGCAATGGGAGAGGGGCTAATGAGTTGTGTATTAGACGTTGCTGCCAAATAGGAGGATTCTAGAGTTGGTTTGGAGGGGGGCGAAGGGATGTCTTTATGAGCCTAGGAGAGTGGGGAGATAGATTCCTGAAGAGTCACGACTATCTTGGGCCTCTAGTTGGTTATTGTTCGCGTTTTTTGACGACTTAGTGATGGGATCACAATCATCTATACGGTGCCGGCGTTTGCGCTTTTGAGTAAACTTTGTGAGGGCTAGCTGGTCATGCCAAAGTTACTCGATAATAATATATATTGGATATCCCTGGATTTCTTGGAGACCAACTCATTCTAGGATAGCCCCCGCTGGGTGGCTTTCTCTTCACGCTTTTTTTTCTCTTTGGTTGGGGGGGGGGCTTAGGGATGATGGGGATTAAGGACCAATGTGGGGTGTGAAGGTCCGGGCTCAGGTTTTCGTATATCGGGAATTTACTAGTGCTGGGGCTTTACCTTCTCCATGGAGACGAAAGTTTCCTTCCTTGCCGTTTCCCTCCTCTCCCTCCTTCCGCCACCGCCTCTTCACCTAAGCTTCCTGGGCGCATCTTTCCTCCACCTCACATTACTCTTCACCCGGTGGCCCATCCATCGTTCTGGTTTTCTGAGAAACTTGAGTGTCATACTTCTTCCATAGTTCTTAAAATGTAAGTTTCCTCCTTTTTTGTCTTCTCTTTTTTATTTGACCTTTACTAATAAAGAGTTTCTCTTGATAAAGGAGTAATAGACGAGTCCCTTATGTACCGGAGGCAGCCTTTACTAAAGGCCCTCCGCGCCACAATAGCCATGCGGCAGCGGCTACTCATCGTCCATCTCCCGCACGCAACGGAATTAACAGAGCCTCACCGCCCGCTCCCACCGGTGGAACAGTCCCACCCCTGGTTGCCGATCATGCTATTCCAAACACTAGTGCCCCCGCCGCCGTGCCTGTTCTCCAGGTGTCCAACCCTCACCAGCAATTGCACAATGACACACCAAGGATTATCCGCCCCCGCCCTGTTAAATGGACTAAGCGATGCCAGTACGATCTTTCTACAGGCTGCCATCGTGGCATTAAGTGCTTCTTTGGCCACCTTGGTGATGTGTATACTGATTCCCCAACTGTTCTCCAAGAGTTTACAAGCAATGGATTCAACACAAGGACTCTCCGTCGCGCAGAGCTGGAAAGGGTTGGCGAGAGTCTCAATCTTGATCAGGCGCTGAGAGCCGTTGTGCCGAGGTCTCAAAGGCACCCAAAGCATAACACTGGCGCTTCCAAGCGAGGTGCGAATACCACGAGCAATTGTAGGCAATCCAGTCGTGATCTACTTATTGCAGGAGCTATAAATGTCAACACGCACTTTACCCCTCCTGAGCATATGTGGGATGGAGAGACTCTTCACGCTGGCGCTAGTCCTGCCCATCCTGCCGGATATGAAGGGGTGCAACCTTTTGAGTCGTCTGCTTCGCCCGAAGTTACTCTTGTTCAACGCCCCAACAGTCAGGAGAGGTCCCAATATCACTCCGCTCCGGATTATAATTGTCACGGATATGATGGCGGCGCACCCTACCACGCTTGCCTTGTCTATGGTCTAGCGGTCGGAATGGCGCCTTTTTTTGGTGCATCCACTTCACCTCTCGATTCTCCCGGTAATCTATTCAGGGTCAATGCTACTGGTGAACTATATTATTATGGTGTTGACGGTGTGATGTATCAGTACAATCCCGCCTTCTGGGCCGCCCAGAATAGGCAGTACCACATGACTCAGCAGGCAAATAATTACACGGTTGTCGGCGGTCCCACTCCTCAGCAATTCTCTGGCCCCGCTCTCGATCCTGGCTATCAGCACTTGCAATCCTGGATCAACGACCTCCCGACTCCAACCCCCGTTCCGGAAGGGTATACCTGTAACCATGCCCAGAACGCGGGAGCCTGGCCGCCGGCCCATCAGCAGCATGATTACTCCTTGCCCATTTCTCAACAAGGCTACGGCTCGCACGCCCCCTCCCCCTGCGGAGGGATGCAGCAGGAACCGCCTGCCTACGCTGGGGTTTTCCATCAGCATACTAGCCCTACTGAGGAAGTGGCGCAGCAGTTGTACGAAGAGACTTTCCCGAAACTTGCACCCAAGAACGAGACCAACTGTCAACGCCCTTCCACTTCTAAGTGAGATGACAATTGGACCTGGACAACACGGGGTGCGGAAGGTATCGTAAGTACGGATTGTGTGTTAGTTTAGTTTGGTCTGGTTTGTTTTGATGCGTCTGGTTATAGTTTTATGCTGTGTGACCTGAGTCTTGTTCTCATTGCATGTGGTGCCTTTACTTGGGGAAGGGATTTGCGGGCGATATAAGTTCTTTGCCTCATATTTTTCTTGTTGGCGGTTTTCCCCGGTATGATACGGTGGATGGTTGTGACGTGTATTGTGGCTGAAACCCGTGACTTGCTTGTGCGTGCAGGTGGACGTTCGAGTTTCGGGTCTTCTAGCTTAACGCAGTGTTTTTAATTTTCGCGATAGGTGAGAGGGGTGTATCGTCGGCATAATATTCGCTATGCATTTGGGATGGATGGGTTAAGCGGCTGAAAGTGGTGCGAGGGGTCCAATTAAGATACTTTGCAATTAAGATTGCAGAGGGGTAGTTCTCGTGGAGCAGTATTGATTAGTTGATACTACTTCTAGATTGTCCGGTAAGTCTCGATCGGTGTATGCCTAGGCTTGAATGGCTTTTACAAGGAGTGTTTAACGTGAAGAAGTAGGCGCTCGAGCTGCGCCTCTATGCCTCTGGTTTGATCTGGATGCATAATAGATTCCGTCGTAATACTCTGCTCCCCGTAACCGCACCTGTGAAGGCTCTAAAACACCCTCCATGGTGGATGAAAACGAAACTAGCTCTTCTTGCTGTCGTATTGCTACACCAACTTATGTTCCTTTCCCAATAGTATGTCTACACACCATGGGGCTGCCGAGGGGAGTAGTGTATTCAGCCCTCTACCCCAGAGGGCAGG